CCTGTAGTTCCAGCTACTTGGAAGGCTGAGGCGGAAGGATCACCTGAGCCCAGCAGGTCATGGCTGTGGTGGCCATGAGCATGCCACTGCACTCCAGGTGGCAAAATGAGACTCCAACTCAAAAAAACCCAACAACAACAACAACAAAAACAAGCAGGCCGAGCTTGGTGGCTCAGCCTATAATCCCAGGGGAGGCTGAGGCAAGTGGATTGCCTGAGCCCACGGGTTCGAGACCATCCCGGGCAACTTGGTGAGACCTCGTCTCTACAATAAATCAAAAAATTAGCCGGGCATGGTGGCACGTGCCTGTAGTTCCAGCTATTTGAAGGCTGAGGCAGAAGGATCACCGGAGCCCAGCACGTTGATACTGGGATGGACGTGAGCGTGCCACTGAACTCTAGCCTAGGCCACAGAGTGGGACTCCAACTCAAAAACAAAACAAAACACCAAGCATTTTTATACTCTTAAGGATTGGGTAAAAAAGGAAGTCAAATGAGTGACAAAAGACTACTTAGAAATTCATTTGTTCACTTATTCATTCAACAAATATTTATTAAGCATCTAGAATGTGCCAAGAGGCATATAAGACAGATGCAAAGTCCTGCTCTCATAGAACTTACATTCTGGTGGTAGAGATGAACTATATATAGTTAAATAATAAAAATAAGAGATCATAAAATAATACAAGAAATAAAATGATAAATAATAATAATAAAATATAAATTTATAGTCTTAAATGTTTTCATAACTAGGGAGAAAAATTAGGAGTAATGAGCTAAATAGTCAACTAAAATTAATATTATTATTATTTTGAGTCGGAGTCTCTGTCGCCCAGACTGGAGTGCAGTGGCATGCTCACGGCCACTTCAGCCTCAACTTGCTGGGCTCAGGTGATCCTTCTGCCTCAGCCTTCCAAGTAGCTGGAATGACAGGCAAGCACCGCCATGCCCAGCTAATTTTTTGATTTATTGTAGAGATGAGGTCTCGCCAAGTTTCCCAGGCTGGTCTTGAACCCATGGGCTCAGGCAGTCCTCTCACCTTGGCCTCCCAAAGTCCTGGGATTATAGGTGTGAGCCACTGTGCCTGACCTCAATGAAAATTATTAAATACTTATTTAAGAAAAAGAAGTTCAGGTTCTAGTAATGACAGAGCAGCTTGTACCTGACTAACTTCTCCCACAGCTATCCTTATAAGCTCTGGAAATTTTTTTTTTTTTTGAGTTGGACTCTCACTCTGTCATCCAGGCTGGAGTGCAGAGACATGCTCATGGCTCCACAGCCTCAATCTGGTGGGCTCAGGCAATCCTTCTGTCTCATCCTTCCAAGTAGCTGGAACTACAGGTGTATACCACCACACCCAGCAATTTTTTGAGACAAGGTCTCGCCAAGTTTCCCAGGCTTGTTTTGAAACCCTGGGCTCAGGCAGTCCTCTCGCCTTGGCCTCTCAAAGTGCTGGGATTACAGGCTTGAGCCACCACAGCCGGCTAGGAAAAATATTTTAAAATATGTGAAGGCACTGGAGAGCAACCAACAGCAGGCAAGAATGGCAGGAGATGCAATCCACAAAAGAAGCAATGATAGTAGTCGTACTCCTCTGAGAGTATCCCCCAAGCCACATGGCATAGTTTGGGTGCAAAAAAAATGGAACTTGGGCTGCCGTAGCATCCGGAAAATAGAAGCGAGATTCTGGAAATGAAGGAGCCACAGAAGAGAAACTCCAAAATCTGTACATAAACTCTTCTCAAATTATTGGCTGACCACTGAACTGCACATGCCTGGGACTCCAAGAATCCTAGAAAGCAACAGCTGGAGTCTGAAGAAAGGAAGCAGAAATTTTATTTGCTGTCCTCCTTAGGTGAGACAGTAGGGAGTTTGGGTTCTACCAAATTAGGCTTTTGATTGAAACCTACACCTCAGGCTTTTTATTGAAACCCTGGAAGGGCCACACACCTTAGGAGCAAAAACAACATCCCATTGGCTCTTGAAGAGCAGCACTGAAACAGACTCACCTTAGTGAAGTGTTAAACCAAACTTCCACAAGGTGCTCGTTTAACTGCCTGCTCAAATAAAAATCAAGTCTTAGCCAGGCTCGGTGGCTCAGCCTGTAATCCCGTGCCTTTGGGAGGCTGAGGTGAGTGAATTGCCTGAGCCCGTGGGTTCGAGACCCGCCTGGGTAGCAAGACCTCATCTCTACAATAAATAAAAAAATCAGCCAGGTGTGGTGGCGCATGCCTGTAATTCTGGCTACTCGGAAGGCTGAGGCAGAAGGATCACCTGAGCCCAGCAGGCCGAGGTTGTGGTGGCCGGGAGTGGCCACTGCACTCCAGTCTGGGCGACAGAGTGAGACTCCAACTCAAAAAAAATCAAGTCTTAAGATAACAGAACCCGAATTCTCTTTAGTATATCATCACTAGTGTATCATCATCACAATATTCAGTATGTAATCACAAATTACTAGATATGTGAAGAAACAGGAAAATTTGACCTCACATGAAGAGAAAAAGTAGTCAATAGAAACAATCATTAGTCATCAAAGAAATGCAAATTTAAACCACACTGAGATACCACCTAACTCCATTCAGGATGGCCATCATCAATAACTCAAAAAACAGCAGATGCTGGAGAGGATGTGGGGAAAAGGGAACACTTCTACACTGCTGGTGGGTGTGTAAACTAATACAACCTCTGTGGAAAACAGTTTGGCAATTCCTAAAAGATCTAAAAATTTATCATCCATATGACCCCACAATCTCCCTTCTGAGAATGTACCTGGAGGAACTCAAACCACTCTATGGAAAAGACACCTACACACGCATGTTTATTGCAGCATTATTCACAATAGCAAAAACATGGAACCAACCGTGCTGCCCATCAAAAGAGGACTGGATAGAAAAAATCTGGTATATATACACAATGGAATATTATGCAGCCATAAAGAAGGACAAAATTATGAACTTTGCAGCAACTTTTTTGGACTTAGAGTCTATAATACTGAGTGATCTATCACAGAAACAAAGAACTGAGTACTGCATGTTCTCACTCATAAGTGGACCTTGAACAATTAGCATAATACTATAAGAAAGGGATCGGCAGTAGTGGGAAACTACTGGGAAGGGGAGAAGGAGGGAACACCTCATCAACAAGGATACCTGCATAATTTGTATACCTAACCCTGAATTGTGCCCCACATCTTAAAATAAATAATTTTTTAAAATTAATAGTTTAAAAAAAAAAAAAGAAACAGGCCCAGATGTTGGAATTAGCAGACACGGGCTAACTGAACAAGCAGCTATCTCAACAGAGGAATGGGAACTATAAAAAAAAACCAAATAAGTCTAGAGCTGAAAAGTACAGTACATTAAATGAAAATCTGATGTAGATGTTGAAGAGAAGAGAGGATCAGTAAACTTGAAGACAGATGAATAGGAATTATCAAGGCAAAGAACAGAATGAAACATTTTAAATAAAATGAAAAACAGAGCCTCAGTGACCTCTGGGACAATATCAAAAGCAATCCAATATGCTTTTAATGTCTCAGAAAGAAAGGAGGGAAAAAAGTGGGGCATAAAAAACTTAGAAGAAATAGTGGCTAGAGTTTTTCAAATTTGGTGAGAAAAATCAATGTACAGATCCAGGAAGAATCAAACCCAAAGATAAATACAGAGAAAACTATGTTTAGGCATAGCATGGTCAAATTGCTGCAAACCAAGAAAAGTCTTGAAAGCAGCAAGAGAAAAATGACATTTCTTACAGGGGAACAATAATTAGAATGATAACTTTTTTTTTTGAGTTGGAGTCTCACTCTGTCACCCAGGCTGGAGTGCAGTGGCATGCTCATGGCCACCCCAGCATTGACCTCCGGCGATCCTTCTGCCTCAGCCTTCCAAGCAGCAGGAATTACAGGCGCATGCTACTATGCCCAGCTAGTTTTCTATTTATTGCAGAGACGAGGTCTTGCCAAGTTGCCCGGGCTAGTCTCGAGCCTGTGGGCTCAGGCAGTCTACTCGCCTTGGCCTCCCAAAGTTCTGGGATTACAGGCTGAGACACTGAGCCCGGCCGATAACTAACTTTTCATCTGAAACAGTGAAGGCCAGAAGATGATGGAACATCTTTACCATACTCAGTGAAAAAAAAAAAACTGTTAATTCAGATTATTGTTTTTTCTTTTCATTCTTTTTTAGAGACAGGGTCTTACTCTGTCACCCA